CTGTTGTGCTTCGTTTCAGAGTTAATTCCACTTCTCTTTAAATTTATGAGTTATCGGATTAAAGGAGAAAAAATTCTGTTCATAAATCGTCATTTGAAACTTAACCTAACTTTGAATTTAAAACTTTAAAATTGTTTTGTTTACTAGGTATTTTTAAACTAAAGGGCTAAAGTGCTTATTTCCAGTGCTTCATTGTTCAACATCTGCCAGTGGGTTTGGGGCAACAAGCAACAAATTCTCTTGAAGGGCTAAGTCGTCATCTGTAAACCTAAGCCTCTTTACAGGTTCTTTAATATTGGAAGAGGTGGAATCCATATATTTTGGGCCATATTTGTTTAATTAAAAACTAATCCCAGCTACTTAAACATCAAATTACCTAATAAAACTAAAGTAATAATTCAAAACAATTCAAACATAACCCAAAATAAAAAGATCTCTCTTAAACTCGCCTGACCCATTGTTGTCAAATGTTGCCCGCACTTACACCCATTTCAATTTTTAAACGTTATATAGAAATAGCGCTTGAGTGTAATTGATCCGCAAATTACGTCCGGCGGTAACGTTATTAGCGGTTGTTGCGTTAAAAATTGACTCGCCCATATCGTAACCATGATAAGGTACGCGTAAATACTGCATGACGCTATTCGGTTTTCCGATATCTCTCTAATAACTGTGCCGGTCAGGCGCTGTGCACAATTTTAGAGGCCATAAGTGGGCGTGCTATGTGCGCAAACTAGTAACCTAAAGCTACATTCGAAATCAATTCGCTGGCCGAGTGGTACTTTGGCCCGCAAGCTTATCATATGTACTTCAGTGTAATCATTCACAACAAAATTCGACGCCAGAGTGCAAGTTGAAGTTGGATTGAAAGTTTGCAAGCTGCAAACTTCCACTTCAGCACGGAATTTTCGTTTGACAGGTATGACAATTTGATATTTAAATTTTAATAATTGTTTTGTTTTGTGTTGTTGTTACAAGCCATTTTCGTGTGAAAAGTAAATAATTATTAAAAGAAGATGAGTGAAAGGGACTTCAGCTATTCCTATTTATTAGGACTTGTGTGGTTTCTGTTAAAGGCAGCAATTATCGTTGAAGCTCAATGATTCGCTTGATCGAAAACCAAGGGGTTTAAGAGCCAAAAATGAAGTCCGACCCATATTGAATGCGAAGAAAAAAGTTTTGAGGAATACTAGCGAAAATCTTTTACAAGAAGCCCGCTTAAGCGATCTCATAATTGAGACACATTGTAGAAAAAAATCATCACTAAATGACGTTTTTGTTTCCATTTTTCTAAACATAAAAACTTGGAAAACTTAATTAACAACTGTTCCGGATTTTGACTCTTCCAAAATCAAAACAAACAACTAACCTAAAAAATGTCAGGAGACGTTTAAACACGCATGCGCAAAATTCGACTTGAAATTTGTTGTGAATGGTTAATTTCGTTCCGACTTTAACGTCGAAGTGCCACTCGGCCAGCGAATTGATTTCGAATGTAGCTTAACTAGTGCCCGATTCCGAAAATTGGAACCACGAAAAACAATAACGAAAAAACAAAGTTTATAATCTGTGATAATATCAAGTTTGGAAATTACAAAATTTTCGTTTAACATTTCAATTCTTCAATTTATGTACATTGTGTATTACGCTTATTGCCTAAAATTGAAGGAAGAAGTGAAATATGCAATAATATACAGGGGGTTTCATTTAAAAAAAAAAGTTTGATGTGCCACAACTTTATGACCGACCCTGGATAGTTAAATTTACTAGTAGCCTAATAGGCATTTAAAAACCTATTACAATAGTATCACGGTTTCAGCAGAATGGCATGATTTAACGAAAATGAACATATCGAAATTAATTAAATCAAATTGTTTAAGTGATATGTTCAAACATTGTGCGTATTTCGATTTTTAGAATTGAAGGAAGAATTGAATTATGCAATAATATACACGGAGTTCTATTTAAAAAAATGAAACTTTAATGCGCCACGACTTTATGATCAACCCTGTATACATAAATTTATTACTCGCCAATAGACTATTTAACTTTTTGCGGTACCGCCTATATTTTACCCAATAATCTACCGTTTCCATACATAAAAGCGACCCTGTATTTATATTTGAATTCAAATGACTTATGTTGAAAGTTACTTTGATATATTATGAATGACTTGTCAAAAGTCAAAGTAAAAAATTGTATGGCAACGTTGCGAAGTGCATTGGTCAAATATTTTGATGAAGTGTACGCCAACATTTATTGATTTTCCTATAGACTATAGTTTAAATTATTCAAAAAATACTGAAAAATCTCACACACCATTAAATGATGGTGACTATGATGCGGAGCGGGTTGCTGAGCGTGATGAGGTCTGGAACTACGTTTGCTGGTACTCCACGAGCCAGTATGTTCAACTAGCGCGGGATTAAAAACTTCAGTGGTGACATCTACCGGAAATACTGGTCTCTGTTCCTGTTAACAACGGATATAAACAATGGTAAAATACCTACAGCAATGGTTCACTGAATTAATTTGTAGAATTTAATTATATACAGGTTGTTAATTTGTTTATTACTCGCGGCAAGAGCTTTATGGTTGAAATATGGCAACCTCGGCCCGCTCGTCAATAGACGACGCGACGGGACGAGTCGGCACTAAACTCTAAGAGTGCATGCGTTCTCAATAGGCAGTGTTGCCATTCTGTTCCCCTATAAGTTAACTGTCCAGTTAACAACCTGTATAATACCTATTTGAACTAACACTGATTAATATTTACATGGTTCATTTGAACTACTATTAATTACTATTGATACTTTGAATAAAAAGATTAAGGAAGGAGTATAATGATATTCATGTATTCATATTCATGCATGGTCAACGGAAAGAGGACTCTAGAGTGGGGATCTTTGACAGTTCTGTTTGACGATTCATTTGACACAGTTGAATTTGATTTGAAATTTTGTGGATTTGTCAGTCCTTACTGAGCTAATTTTACGTTATTTATTATTTATTCTGCTTCTGATAGTTGTTTAAAGGTATTAAATCTAGAAGGAAATTGTGGCAGAACTTAAATTAACAGTGACACTATTGCAATTTATCGAAAAAGACTGTAAAATAGATCAAAAATCGAGGCAAATAATGGAATACTTTTTCGCTAGTAAGTGACTATACCGTGCTGGCAACTGTTACTTTTGGATCGATATTTACATGTGTGGAAGTAAATCGCATAGGGATCTTATTAAGTTGGAGTGAGAGAAATGCGACGGTGTGCTGTTGCGGCGTTGCCGGTACGCCTTTCCATATCAAGTAAAGTAAAATCACGATTACAAACCGCTTTTTTTTTAACACATAACACACCATAACTCAAGAACCAATTTAGATGTTGAAACTTTTTTTTATTTTGAAGATCGGCTCTTTTACAATCTGTTTACATAAGAAAAATTCGATATGGCTGTTTTTTTTTAATTCAAAAATTGTACACAACCCATCCATTTATTTTTGAGCATACAAATTTTCAGCAATCGTGTAATTTTTTAATTGATAAAGATTTTCACATACTATCTACGAAGAAAATACAGCAGAAATATTAAGAAAGTTTTTGAAAAAAATACAATCACTTATTTCTAATAGATTTCGAAATATCGATTTTTGAATTCAGAGTTCTAATAGCGCAACCACTGTCGAACACCAACTCAGTTCCACTTATTTTTACCAAAAATGCAAATGTTTCTAGCTCGCACTTAAAATTTTTCAAGCTATAGGAAAAATTACAACGAATCGTTGATAAATAAACAAATAAAGTATCATGAGACGTAATTATATGGTGAAGCTGAACGCATGTGTACACCTTTCCCTAGAACTTTAACTACTGACAGAGGTACTGATTGGGTCGACCGGTCAATTATGAAATTCAATTAAAATTAACTAATTATATATTTTTTCTCTGCTTTTTTGATTTTATTTACTACTTGTTAAAGATTAGATGTCAAAGAATTGAGATACGTCAATTTGACTTACCTGCTTCAGTAGCGTATCGGATGTTTGTGTTAATAAATAATTATTATAACTTATCTATTTTTATTAGAATTATATATTTTTATAACAATTTTATAAACTACCAACGTTTATTCACAACGTAAAATAAAACAATAAATTATCGAGTCTACTCCACGTCTACCCTACATCATATGTTTACACTTTTTAAATAAAATTAGAACAGCACTGATAAACCGGAATTTAAGTCGGCAATATTTGAGTCCCATCGCGGTGGACTTAAGATTTTTGATATGCTCCTTCCTTAATATTTTTATAAGTACAGCAAGGTTCATTTAAACTGCTGGTATGGTAAATTTGAACTACTATTAATTGCTATTAACATGCTTAATTTGAAAAGGTTACCTGTAATATAGCTGACGAATCTACCAAAAGAGGTCTGCCCCATTCAGCTTCGGAAAGTAAAGGCTGTTGTATCGCTGCGTGCTGTGGCGGTATCTGCTGCCAAGACGGTACTATAGCCATCTGTTGGCGGTTGGTAGGCCAAGAAGTTTGAACAGCGTTCTGAAAATAAAGAAAAATAATTAATAAACAATTCTTAACGTTTTTAATTAATAAATGTACTTACAGTTAGCAACATTTGTCGTCCAGTCGGCTCAACCACGCTGACAGGGACATACTGTTGTTGGCCGGGTTGGCTCAAAATGGGAGGTTGTATCTGTAGAGGGGGTTGCTGCACTACGGTCACGTGCTTGGCAGGGAACCCACCCATTCACTTGGTAACCTAAAAGTCAGTTACAAAATAAAGTACGGAAAGAATAGAGTATAATTTTGACTCAATAATTTCAAAAAAAAGGAATTGCAATTTTATGACACCATGTATATAGGGTGTAAAAAAAGTGTACCAAACTTCTGCGGGTGATTCTAGAGATAAAAATAAAACAAAGAGTTCTTGTGAACATATACCCTACGATGCTTCTCGAGGAAATTAGGACCCCTTGAAAAAGTACTTTTATTTTTATTTGTACCATTTTTTTACACTCTGTATATAGAATATACTTAAAAATATATTTTTTTATCGTTAAAGCGTTATTAGAAAATGGAAGTCGGAACAAAGTGTCAATAATAAATATTTGTATATTGTAATCGCAAAACATTTTCCGATGCACTTCATCAATCATATCGAAATTAACACTAAAGCCTATAAACCTGACTAAACTGTCCGTCAAATTAAATACCACAGCGATTTTTTTACTCATTTTCAACGAGTTGTAACTTGGACCGATTTTGTTGATTTTTTTAGCATATTATAGATCGTTTTTTGTAGATTGATCTGATTTTTCTAAATTTTGTATGAGATTTAGTTTTCTATGATATACAGGGTGTGAAAAAAATACGAAAACTCATCTGGAATAAAAGATAATCAATTTTTACTCTAACTTGCATTTTTTCTACCTTTCTTAAGAGATATGCTAATAAAATTATAGATATTCGTTACTTTTACAATGTGAAATTAAAAATAAAATGATTAAACTAACGCAGTTTAATACAGGATCTCTTAAAAATACGACCAGCGAAAAAGTAAAAATTATTTTTTAATATTCCAAACCAAACAGTCCATAAGGTTAAAATAATAATTTTACTTTTTCGCTGGTCGCATTTTTAACAGATCCCATTAAACTGCGTTAGTTTAATTCATTTTTTTTAACTTCGCGTTGTAAAAAGTAACTGAAAAAAGTTCATTCAGTTTTGTTAGCATATCTCTTAAGAAAGGTAGAAAAAATACAAGTTAGAGTAAAAATTGATTATCTTTTATTCCAGATGAGTTATCGTAAAAATTCCAAATACGTCCCGAGATATTAGTCTTAGCTATACCCAGAACTTATAATTCTAGTTAATTTTTTTTTGGCAAAATGGCAGCAACACAAAAATTACATTCCTTTTTTTCACACCCTGTATATCATAGAAAACTAAATTTCATACAAAATTTAGAAAAATCAGATCAATCTACGAAAAACGATCTTTAATATGCTAAAAAAATTAACAAAATCGGTCCATATTTTTCAAAGTTACAAGTCGTTGAAAATGAGTAAAAAAATCGCTGTGGTATTGAATTTGACGGGCAGTTTAAATGAAATTATGGCAAAAATGTTTAAATTTTTTGTATAATTTAAGATAGCGAGCAGCTCCTCATTTTACTTTATAGAGCAAATGATTGTAACAGATATTTTATTTAGATTAAAGCTGCCAAAAATTAGTTTAAACCGAATTTTATTATCGCTATGTTGGTCACATTGCGCCGTTTTCAGCAAGGTTGTCGTTTACTATTTGACAATTATCATAATGTCAATCATTATTTTGTATAATATCGTGTTGTTGAATCTTTGTGAGTAATTCTCGTTTTCTGCCTATTTTCATAGTCTTTTTTTAAAAATTGTACTTTTAAGCAGAAACAGTTCTTTTAAGAACTAAATTTTCGAGTTTTTGTATTGCATTTCTTGAAATTGTGTGTTGACAATATGCCGAAGCATTTAAACAGTCAAAGCAAAGAGCTTGTAGCTTCCCTGATAAACTATTTTGAACGAGAACGTGACAATAAAGGTTCTTTATTACCCTTGACTGCTGTCAGAGAAGTAAGTTTGATTGATAAGCACATTACACCACTTTCAAAGTTATTTCTAAGTTAGTTTTTATTAAATTCTGTGATTATTAATTTGTGCATTAATAGCACCTTCTTACTTGTTATGACCACTTATGGCGTTGTAAGATTATACCTCAATAAATAAATAAATAACCCATAAAAACGCTTAGAATAATCTTCATAGTATTTTTATCATGAAGTAAAATAAACTCTCAATCAATTAATTACTTGCAAATATTATTAAAAATAAAACGTAAAAATGATATATTAAATATATTGTTTTTTAAATACTTTTAGTTGTCTCATAAATCCATCACAATCTGGCAGCGCTATCCTTTATTGCCCAATCCTTCAAAATTGTTCACGTGCATGGTAAATTCTTTTGCAGGAATTACCATATTTTTTCTGTTTAAAATATTTTTAGGACAAGTATACTGGACACCAATTGATGCTGGAACGGATCTGCTCTAGCGCTGGTTGCGTACTGACGTCCAACAGTTCTTCCAGCTGGCAAATCTGGTGACTGAAAAACAATCAGAAAAGACACCCCAAAATACAAAATGTCAACAACTTGCAAGTTGTCATATCCAGACCTATCCCTCACTAGCCTCTGCACTTGGTTGGTCAGTTGATTGTTTATGGTAAACGTCACGTTACCATTAGAGTTTGGTACAAAGTTAGCGACCAAAGATGGCGCCTGTTGAGCTGGTTGGTGGTGGGAAGCGGCCGAAGATGTGCTGTAGTCGTTGCGACGTAAACCTAGCAAAAGAAAAAATAGTAAAATCTCAAATATTTAACATTATGCTGTGCGTTTTTCTAAGTACAAGGCAAGTCACAGTAAATATTATATTTAGAAAGCCCTTACAGTGTTGGTAGGGGTGACTCCTCCATCATTTGGACGCTGGCTTTGACGTTGTTGCAGTGCGCATAGTCGATCAGGTGAGCCAATCGGACGAAAGGATGGTTCAGTGCTTCGCCTGGGGTAGTGCGTCGTTCCTGAAGTGGGATAAATATAAGTTGCAGAGGACCAATCACACCAAACAGTAATAAAAAATGTAAAAAAATAATAATAAAATTTACTGCATTATCTTCTTTCTCACACAACACTTTCAATTATTTCAGAAATAATATTGATTTCTGCACAAATATCATTAAAAAAGACCAAATGTAAGATATAAAATTTTTACAACAGTCAATAACAGAGAACAGTATATTAAGCAATATCTCAAAACCAAGACCAAGAAAGTCTTGGTTCGTTGTTCATCCCCAATACATAATCATCAACCCAAAAAATTGCTGTTGGCCTCTCGAATTCATAACGTAGGATTAGAAAATTAACCTTGCTTTTGTGAGTATTATTGTGAACCTTAGTTCAGAAACTCAGAAATTAGAATTGAAAATAGATTCATTGGGGTTTTAATTAGTGTAGAAGTTTATTTCTCTAATTTCAATTAATCATTCACAAAATCAAAATTAGTGGTAGTTAAGCTTAATTTAGAACCTCAAAATTGAGTGGTTTCATTTTATCAGAAGTCTATTCTCCTAATAATTTCAATGAGGCATTCAGAACGTCCAAATTAGTAGTAGTAATTTTCAATTAGTAGAAAAAGTTAACAAACTTTTAAGCTTCATTCAGAACCTCTCAATTAATTGGAATAAATTAGTGGTTTCAATTAGCGTAGAAGTTTGGTCCTTTAATTTCAGTGTAAGCATTCAGAACATCAAAACTAGTGGTAGTAATTTTTCAATTAGTAGAAGAAAGTTAACAAAGTTTTAGAACTGCGAGGCACTCGCAATTAGTGGAATAAATTTGTGGATTCAATTAGCGTAGAAGTTTTGTTCCTTTACCCCAATTTCAAAG